GAGCCCTTTATTCTCAATAATTGTAAGAATTGATTTTATGGAGCTTTTTGATATCTAATGATAATATCAATGAGTAATAAAAATTTACTGTCCCTTCCTACATGTTATGTCTGGATTGGCTAGAAATTCCAGAGTAATGTTAACTAATAATGTTAATAGTGGGTGTTTTTATCACAGGAAAGTTAAAATCATGGTTAAGCAAAAACTGTGGTCATCTTTCAATTAAAACCAAAATCATAGTTGAAAACAAATCATTCTTAATTTTCTAGATTACATTAATTGCTTTGTAATATTTATAATGGAAAAAGGTATATAAAAATCTTGGGTAGTGTGCATTTCTCCAGCACAGGGGCAACATCTGATTACCTCTAATTGGTAACTAAAAGGAAGAGGAACCAAACTTCAGATCTAGACTTCAGTTGGAAGAAGGCTAAAATGAAACTAGGTAAGTTAGTTTCTAGATTATTCCCCTGCGTCACCATCATTTCCTTGAAAGCAATTCCTGGCATGGTGGCAGGTGGAGTTTCTCTCTTTCCAGGAAGACTGTAAAGGAGAGCTAGAGGAGAGCAGCACTGCATCTCCACTAAAGTGTGGGCTTGATTTGCTGCCTGTCATGCTGTCCTTATGCCATTGTTAGAAAAACCTGAAATTGGAAGTATGGAGATGGGAACATTTTCTATTTTGTTATGGTGATAAAGGATTAGAGTTTTCTTTTCTTCACATTAATTATCACCACTGTGGAGGTATTTCATAACTTTTGTTGTATTGGAACCACTCCAAAGTTAGTAATTTAAAATATCAGTCATTTATTTAGCTAACAATTCTGCAGGTTGGCAATTTAGGATGAGTTTAGCTGGGCAGTTCTGTTCTCAGCTAGGCTCCCTCATGAGTCTGTGGTGTGGACAACTCTGGATTAATTAGATGGTTTTGCCCTTGTAGTTGGCTGGTTGTTAACTGGGGAGAACCTCAGCTTTTCTGCAGCTCATGTTTCATCTTCTAGAAGTCTAGGCTTTTTCTCCTTATGGTGGCAGAGGTCTGAGAGAGAGCAGAAGCAAACCAAGCCTCTTGAGGCTAACTTAGAGCTGGGACACTGTTACTTGTTTCACATTCTGTTGGCCAAAAGAAGTCAGAAGACCTGCTGATTCAAAGGATAGATATATAGATTCTACCTCTTGATGAGAGCTTCTATAAAGTCACATTGCAGAGGGTATGGACACAGCCAAGTATGGATGATTAGGGCCATGTTTGCCATCAATCTAACATAATTGGATGAATGAAGGACTCGAAGATATGTTTAGAACACTATGTTTCTTGTAAATGTGGATTTTAATTTTGCTGTTACAAAATTATATCATCCAGCTCCCTTTTTATTTCAGCCAGTTGTCCTTGTATCATATAATCTTTATATTATTTTTTCATTTTTAGTTGCTTGTGAATCTTTGTTCAAATCCATGCCAAATAAAAATTGTTTAAAATTGTTTTTGGTTTCTTATTAAATTTTTCTCAGAGATGTCATCTCTGCATCTTTAGGCTATAACTTATTTCTCATGTTTGGGAATATTTTTCCTCATAGAGCCCATCTCAGTTTTTCCTTTTTATCTGGACACTGTTGGTATTTGCCAACAGAGTGTGTGGATGCTTTTCACTATCCACTTAGGTTTAAATGCCTTTCAAATCTGTATCTAAGGAATAGGTTGTTATATGGTTCCCAGTGACTGGTTCTTAGGCCAGTCTAAATGTGGCTCTACTGAATTAAACTAGGGTCATCTGCTACCATACCACTTATGCCTGGTTTGGGGGTACTTAAAGGTCAAGTATATGGAAAAAACATATTTTTAAAACATGTATTACTAACAAGGTTTTCCCTGTGTTTTCTGGTCTCTGCAGAGCTTTTCATATGATACTAAGCCTTTCAGGAAGCAGCAAACCATTGTCAGTGTCCCTCTACCCTTTAGTCATATTGTTTGCTGGGAATTGTATTTAGATGGATATATAAAGAGCTGTGCCACTCGGAACTGGGAATGAGTTACACAACCCTGGCTGCCTCATAAAGCTATCTTTCTAATGTATAAGCACTGTGTCTGTTAAGCAGCAGGCAGAAAAAGGGAGTGAGCTAAAGTCCCTTACTCAGCTGGCAGAAGTATTGTGTTTCACAGAGCAAAGCAAGCCTTTGCATGGCATATACCAAACAGAAAACTGAGCCTACCATTAATGTGTTTCTAGTCCTCATTTCTGGGACTTTCAGATAGTGCTATTATCAGAGATTTCTCATCAGAAGTTAACTGAATTTTGGTAGGGTGTGCTGTTGTCTTTTTCTGTGCCTTTGTGTGGATTATTGTGAGAAGGTGGAAGAGACTGCACTAAGGGATTCTGTTCAGATGCCATCTTAAGCTGAGTCCAAAGTGCTTTTAATTCATAATGTGTTTTCCAGTTTTTGTTAATCAAAAACAGGTATTGAATAAACATTAAAAAATATAGCAACCACAAAGAGCAGTTTTGAAAGGCCAAGATTTGCTGCTTTTGGTAGCTTGTGCAGTGTTATCATGTGAATAAGTTTACCATTCCATTATAATTTTGGAGGAATTACATATATTTCTCAGTCCTCCATTATTACTTTTCAAGTTCGCTTTTGAAGAAATAGCACTTTGATTTTCTCTGTTCCTTCCCCGGCCATCAGTGGTCTAGAAGTGAAACACATTCCTGTTGAGGAGGTTGAAAGACCAGAATGAAGTGCCTCCAGAATTCTCTAAGCCGGCCTCTGGAATAATGGGTCAAAATAGCTGCCAGGTCTAATTGCTGAATCTTTGGGAAAATGATAGTTATTTTCAACGATGCTCTTTTTTCTTTAGGTGTTTTGTTTCTGGCTGCTAAGTTTAAGATCTAATAGTAAAATTACAACCTCAGGGAATCCATCTAATTGGAAAGTAACTGGAGTTATTACAGCTGTGAATTAAGATTTGCTATTAAGTACTTGATTATTGTTTCTATAATCTCTAATGAATGTGCAGCTTAAATTATGATCACCATTTTTTGAAAAACATGACTTGGTTTAAATGCCATCTTAACTCTTTTAGCACTGAAGTTCATTAACTGAATTGATGAACAATTGTCTATAGCCTGTTCTCCTTAGTTAAGAGTTTACATTAGTGCCAGATTTTGACAATATGTATTTAGCTTTTCTATAGTAGTAACCTAAGTGTGAGTGTTTTTAAATGCCATATAAATCAGAGACTCCTAGTTGTTAGGGAAAATCAGTATCTTATCTCTCAAACTAGGTCAGTGCTCTTAAACTGGGCTTTCAGGGAATATCTGTAGGTTGTGTAAAAGTGTGTTTCCACTAATAATGAATCCTAGTAATCTTTCCCAGTGTGTGGAAAAATAGTTTTCGATCTTAAACGTTTTCAACCCTTTTGTGTGAATTACAAATTGTTTGGTAGAACATAAGCAGGAAAAAACCTGAGCAGTAAATCTTTAGTTCACTCATTTTTTCATTGACACATGATTGTGATATTTATATTACCTATCTTTAATATAGCTTTGCTTTTTATTATTCTAGATTTTCTACTGGAATTAAGATTTGTCGCAGCATTGCATAGAAAGCAGTGTAACTTCCAAGAGCTTTGCCATTAGAAGTGGTTTGAGAACCACTGAACTTACTACCATCTTGTAAGATATTAGAGGGCAAGGCTTTTGCCATCATCATCACACTTATTGAGTGGAAGCCACTGCATACTCTTAAGTGTAAAATAACATGAGGAAAATTGGATTTAATATTTGGGGGGAGTTTTCTGGATGGACTGGTAGAGGGTGAGAGTAGGCATAGTAATGAAGATGGAATGTAACCACTTTAAACATTGGTAGGTCAGTTTATATGAAGCACTTGATTAAAGGCTCTGAAAACTCTAGAAGTATGATCCAAATTAAAATATCGAGGTAGCTTTCTCTCCTTTTAGTTTGAAAAGTTAATTTTGAATCGATGGACATTATACTAAATGATGACTAAAGCAAATTTTAGTTACCATTTCTTTCCCCTATAGTCTAAAATATGATTCTAATATCATAACTGTCATTAAAGTCTTGGCCAGTAATTCAGTAAGTAGACTCCTAAAGAGATCATTGTCACAAACTTCCAATTACAAGGCTGTAATGGAGCTGTTGGAATGACAACTAAATGGGAAAGACTGGTCTAGCTGGACAAAGATGCATATAAAACACTTGAGGGTGAGGAATAGTCCATAAAAAAATGGACTTAAATGGACTTTGATCCCAAGGAATATGCAGGGAGATAAATGATAAATACAATAGTAAATAGGAGTAGCAATAGAAGGAGTTATAGTTTGGGTACTATAAGAACTCAAAGAAAGTAATGTATCAGGTGGGAGAGTCTAAAGGAGTTGGCAGTTGAGTTAGTGAGTTTTGAATAGGCACAATGAATAGGGTAAGAAGCATTCTATCTCAAGGGAAAAACATGACCCAGGGCACTGGCCCCCAGACAGGTGTTTGTTGAATACCTGATGGAGTTTGGTAGCGTTTATTTTTCCATTGATTACTCAGTATGTTATATGTGCCTCCTGAATGCCAGGCACTGTGGCAGATTGGTGCTGGGAATATAATAAGATGACCCTTATGGAGCTACAGTCTAATAGAGACAGGTAAAACTGACAAATTAATGAATATATAAATCCAAAGTGAGAAAGACCGTTAGGCTACTGAATAACTTGAGTGAGGATAGACGGTATGATTAGGAAGTTAGGGAATGACTGTAAGGAAACAAAATATAAGGCAAAACTGACCTTTGTTAGGAGCCAGTTTACCCTGTGGGATATTTACCCTGTTTGAAGTCTTTACATTGTTGCTATCCCCATATATTCTTAATTTGGGTAAACTAGTCCCCCTTCAAACACAACCAGTGAAATTTCTCTTTTTCATCAATGTTTGCTTTATTCATTCCTGAATTATTTACCTGTCATGAAATTTATTGTGTTATTCTTCTTTTGCAGAAACCGAAGCTGAAAGATTGGCATCCTCCTGGGGGCTTTATTCTGGGATTATGGGCACTTATTATCATGGTTTTCTTCAAAACTTACGGAATCAAACATATGAAGTTCATTTTTTAGACTTGATGATATATGAAGACTGCATGAAAGAGTGCAACCTTGGATAATAATTTATGTCATTATGTATTTTTAAAAATGCGTTGCTCTTATGTGAATTGGAAATAAGTATAAGAAAACTAAATTTGAGTCAACTATTTCATAACTTAAAGAAAAATAATTCTTAATGCAATTGCATAATGGCATTAAATATATTCTAGTTTTATATTTTCATGTTATAAAAGCAAATGGGACAAAAAGATAAGAATACATTGATTGTTTTTGAAAATAATAATTTCCCCTTATCCCCTTTTCATTTAGAAAAGAAAAAATTGTGAAAACATTAAATTCTCACAGAGGTAACTTCAGTTAATTATGTTCTATATATCCTTTCAATCTTTTGACTTATACACTTATTTTTTTTTCCAATATGGAGATCATGTAGAATATACTACTTTGTAATCTCTTTTTTTCATTTTACAATAAGGGAAAAAAATTAACCTTTCCCTCTCAAAAATACATTGTGAATGACTGCATAGTATCCACTGTATGAATGTTTAATTCATATCACAGTCTTCTATTGTTGGACACTTACATTGTTCCAAGTGTTTTCCTTTGGTTTATTCTTTACTGTATTAATATTTTGCTGCCGGTCACTCATGGAATCCTGAAGGTTTAATTAAAATCAAAGATGAAAAGTTGTTTTTTTAATTTATGTCACTGACAATCTCCAGGACCTTATTTGTTGTCAGTTTATTTGGGAAATTTTAGACCGTTAGTAATTTTACGTATTGACTGCTCAAGAGAAACATACCCCATTATTTTTCATTTCTTATGAAAGAAACGAAATCAGTATCTTATCTCTCAAACTAGGTAATGTAGTATCTTATCTACATTTTCATTTCTAAGCATTCTGTGATCTTCCAGAATTGGTCACCTCCTCTTCATTTTCCATCTTAAAGAGAGAGCCAACAAGGACTTTATTTCATTCTGTTTAAGGCAGACCTTGCCTACTGGCTCTATCTATACTTTCCCTGAGGAAAAAATCCCTTAAAGTGGATGACGTGTGAAGAAAATATGTGCTTATGGCCTGGCTGTCATGTCTGGCTGATGTATCCCATAAGGCAGTAAGCCCCTTTACTGGTCTCTGATAAGATGCCAGAACTTATATCCCCATCACTGACATTTTAGCTTGGAAGTAATATTGAGACTGCTGTGATCAACCCCTGATATTGTTTTTTCTTTTAAAACTTCTGCATATGAGTGGAGCAAAAGCCTAAAAGTTCAGTATTTATGTCTGGGGGGGATACCTTCAAGTGTCTTATCTGTTTATCCAAGAACTTAATGTGTTTATCTTTATTCAGTGCAAAGATCTGTTTTATAATTTTGTTTATAATTGTAGGTAACATTAAGAAGACAATGCTTCCTCCACAAGAAAACCTCCTAAAATTAATATTACTTAAGATTTGTTTTTCCTTTTGCATTTAAAGTATTACCTTTTAAGTGCATGCAAGATTGTCAATATTTTTCACAGGTAAAGGATTGACTGTGTTATCTTCCTAGTTAGATAAAATGATATTGAGGCTTTTTGCTAGCTTTGAATCTTTATTTTAATTGATCTTTTTATTGGTGTCTTATATAAATGAGGAAGGAAAATTTTGTTTGATTATATGAAGGATCTTTTTGTACATGAAAAGAAGGGATAATAAACTTGCAATTGAATAGACTTGATGACAGTAGCAATGAGACACAAAAAGATTGACCATATTGCCCTCCAGACACTCATACAAGGTCGTGGACATCATGGTTAGGCGGAGCTATTTAGGGTGGTAAAGGAATTATGATTGTTCTTGAGCCAAGTAATTTAGTTTGAATATAATGAAACATACCCTGATGGTAAAGACTGCTAGAAAGTAAAAGGATTTCTCTTCAGAGGTTGTAGAAGGTGCCCTTCTTAGTTAAAACCAAACTGGGAAAAGTAATACTGTATATAATATTCAGGATAAATTTTGCCTCGGCAGAATTTCAAAGGGCAGTTATTTGTCTGTTTCATTATTGAATCTTCAGAATATAGTTAAAGCCGAAAGCTTAAAATATATTGTTTCACTTATAACCATAATCTTTTTACATACAGCATATTCTGCCTTTCTGTTTTAACTGTTTTAACGTGTGAAAGAAATACGTTATAAACATACCACAAGGTATGACTATAAAATAATGAGATCAGTATCCATTTTTGCTTTATAGACTTGGCCTTATTGCTTCATTGTCACATCTCATACTCAAGGACATTTACTACAAAGAAAGTGTTCTCCAATATTGCTGGTCTGTTGCTGTCTGCCCGGTTTACACATGTACCTGCTACTTAAATAGGAATAACTAAATCCTCTGCATGTGGTAGATGAGTATATTTAGGTAACATTGTCAGCACAATTAAATGACCTACAATTTAAATGATAACATAAAAACAGATCCTTAAATATATAATACTTGAGTCACAGAAGCTGAGCAACAGAAAGGTATTTTGTTTTTGCCTATCTCACAGTGTTGTGGTGAGAATCAATCAGATGAGGTAATATTTTGACTAAACACTTTGGAACTTGTAAATGTATGATGGCATTATTTTACTTATGTCGGCTTAGGAGAATACCAAGGGGGAAGTTAATGGTGACAGTGTCCCTGTTTCTCTTGCACTTTTGTACCTTTCTAAGCTACTCAATGTGATTCTTGTTCTTTTTGGTATTCTTTTTCTCCTCCCTCATGGTGTCCTTCAGGGAGAAAAGGAATGTAGATAAATGAATCCCAGCAGACTTGTCCTGACATTTCAGGGAGGGACAGTGTATAATGGTGCCATCCTGCAAAGGCAGCCTGTGTGAGAAAAAGAAATCAAATGATGTGGATTTTGAAATTACAAAATATATTCATTTGCAGTTTATGAAAGGAAAATGTAGTTTGGATGTAAAGCTGATTAAATTGGATCAAGAAAAATTAGAATTAAATGCAAAGAATAATGCATGCATTTATGGTTTCAATTTTTATATATTCTCAGCTAGTTGAAAATGATGATTCCCACAACAAGCATAACTCAGCTTGTTTCTGCTTACTGAGTATTTTCTACTATGGTATATGTTGATAACATTTCTTCCATTATGTATGTTGTATACCAGAGTTACAGTTACTATGGGAATCATAATTTGAAATTTTGACTCCTGTGTTTCTGGAATCTTTACAACAAATTTTGCATTAACATATACCCTTTTTTCAGTTCACTTTACCAAAATTAAGCCCATCTGTAGCAGATACTGTTTTAACATGCAAAATAAATATAAACATACCACAAGATATGGCAATAAAATAATGAGATCAGTATCCATTTTTGCGTTGTCACATCCCATACACATTTACTACAAAGGAAGCATTCTCCAATATTGCTGTTCTGTTGCTGCCTGCCCTATGTACACATATACCTGCTACTTAAATAGGAAAGCCTTTCAATTCATGGACAGGCTTCAATTCAATTCAATCCCTTGGTGGTGACCAGGCTTTTATTTTTTTTCTTTTAGTGTAAAAAATGTACGATTTTGGAAATGTGCTGTGAAATATTTGGTTTAACTGTGTAAATCCTAGAATAAGGGGATTGATATAGATGAAGTTGTAACCAAGAAACTGGTTATTAAAAATTCATTTATTCCAAACATGGAAAGGTGGCACTGTCATTCTTGTGTCACCTGGGCAGCTTGCAGTCACAGAGACTTCAGAGGACGTTGAGATTTGCCTGCAGAGGAATACCCAGTCATAGGGTCTACCAGGTGGGAATCATATGATATGACCCACATTCATTCAGTCTTCTCTCTTTTGACTCTAGGAGTGCCAGCTCTGACTGTGCCAGAGTTTCAGGGACAGGAGCAAGAGTGAAACTTTCTTAGGGGGTCATTTAATTAGGTCATAAATGTAAAGCAAATCACACAATGTCCGACACATAGGTAAGGTCAATGTTTTGTTCTTTGCTGGACAGGGATAATCTTGCTTTTAACTTCTGCTCAGGCCCAAGGTCTGGTCACTCTTCCTAGACTGTCCTTTTCCCATCTGTTTTCAGCAGGCATCATTTTTGGGTAACAGTGTCTTTCAATACTATCCAGTGATTTTAATCCATAGATTCTGTTGCTTCCCTTTTCCAAATTTTTTCCTATTTTAGGTAGATTGAGGCTTTTCTGAATCTTCTCTCAGCCTTAGTGTTCTACTGTCCTCTTTTTTCATGGACAGTTCACTCTTTTGGGAGCATGCCTTTAACATGATTTAAGGGATAGTCTATCCTCACCCTCAGGTTGCAGATGTCTGGATAATAATCTAGTACTGTAAAACAGTGGGGATTACATTTTCAGGAGAACATGTCCCCTACATTCCCTACCCTTTGTTATCTTTTGTTAGAGTATTTTTAGTTTCAAATGATAAAAACCTAAGTAGAACAAATTTAGGCCAAGAGGGGAATTTGCCAGAAGAATATTAGGATATTTTTGTATATTCTTGCAGGAAGTGGGGTCATATCTGAGCCTCTTCAGGCACTGGAGTGTCACCTGGATTCTCTTCTCTCTGTGTTCCCTTTATTCTTCCTGGAAACTAGCTTTCTCACATGATGGATAGAGCCTCATACCCCTGCTTCTACCACAAGAGAGAGATAAATTACTCTCTTCCTTTAATTCCAGTTCTACAAGTCTTGTGAAAGAACAGATTAACCTTATTTGCATCAGGGGTTCACTGGCCAGAGGGCTAAGGTATTGTAAGCACATAAGGACCTCTGGAGGCATACTCCATTAGAGCTCCTCCCAGAGAAGGGTGCGATCACAGAAGCCAGACAGTTACCTTTATTACTTTTGCTAACTTGCTGTTCAATGGGGGCTCAGTGGAGCTGCAGTATGCCCCCTGTGGCTTCCTAGAGATGCAGATTGTGGAAAGGATTCCCTATTTAATAAATGGTGTTGGGAAAACTGGCTACCCATAGGCAGAAATCTGAAACTGGACCCATTCCTTACACCTTATACAAAAATTAACTCAAGATGGATCAAAGACTTAAACATAAGACCTAAAACCATAAAAACCCTAGAAGAAAACCTTGGCAATATCATTCAGGACATAGGCATGGGGAAAGACTTCATCACTAAAGAGCTTCTGCACAGCAAAAGAAACTATCATCAGAGTGAACAGGCAGCCTACAGGATGGGAGAAAAATTTTGCAATCTATCTGTCTGACAAAAAGCTAATATCAGAATCTACAAGGAACTTAAACAAATTTACAAGAAAAATACCCCATCAAAAAGTGGGTGAAGGATATGAACACTCTCAAAACAAGACATTTATGTGGCCAACAAACATGAAAAAATGCTCATCATCACTGATCATTAGAGAAATGTAAATCAAAACCACAGTTAGACACCATCTCACACCAGTTAGAATGATGATCATTAAAAAGTCAGTAAACAACAGATGCTGGAGAGGATGTAGAGAAACAGGAATGGTTTTACCCTGTTGTTGGGAGTGTAAATTAGTTCAACCATTGTGGGAGACAGTGTGGTGATTCCTCAAGGATCTAGAACAAGAAATTCCATTTGACCCAGCAATCCCATTACTGGATATATACCCAAAGTATTATAAATCATTCTACTATAAAGACACATGCACATGTATGTTTATTGCAGCACTTTTTACAATAGGAAAGACTTGGAACCAACCCAAACGTCCATCAGTGATAGACTAGATAAAGAAAATGTGGCACATATACACCATGGAATACTATGCAGCCATAAAAAAGGATGAGCTCATGTTTTTTGCAGGGTCATGGATGAAGCTGGAAACCATCAGTCTCAGCAAACTAACACAGGATGAGAAAAGCAAACACTGGGTGTTCTCACTCATAAGTGGGAGTTGAACAGTGAGAACACATGGACACAGGGAGGGGAACATCACACACCGGGACCTGTTAGGGGGTGAGGGTGTAGAGGAGGGATGGTACTAGGGGAAATAACTAATGTAGATGATGTGTTGATGGGTGCAGCAAACCCCATGCCACTTGTATACCTATGTAACAAACCTGCATGTTCTGCACATATATCCCAGAACTTAAAGTATTTTAAAAAAAAGAACAAAAGAAATCCAAGATGTGATGCCCCGCCTCAGACCTACTGAATCAGAATCTGCATTTTAACAAGATCCCCAGCAGTTTGCATGCCTGTAAAGTAGGAGAAGCACTGACCAACTATACCTTTCTAGACCAAACAGCTCAATTTTATCTCCTAAAAAGAGATTGTAAAAGAAGATTACAAACACTTGTGAAATAAGCAGGCATGGGTAGCATCTTTTATGGGTTAATTGACTCTTTAGCATTGTTATTGACTTCTATTCAGACCTTGTAAGACTGTGCACCACTCATTCTCTTTCTTTCTGAGGCTTTTTCAAAATGTAATAAATGCTTAAAACAAGCAGCTAATTAGCATTTATATGTGTGGGTGGTATCTGCAAATCCCCTGACACTCCTCTCATCAAGAGGTAGAGTCAAAATTCCCAGCCCCTTAAATATGGGCTGGCCTTAGTGACTTAATTCTTCTAAATAGAATGTTACAGAAGACTACTGCATGATTTCAGAGACCTTAAAAATGATTATAGCACCTGCCCAGCTCTTTTCTAGGACACTTGCTCTCAGAACCCAGCAGCAGTCCCCCGGGGAAGCCCAAGCCACATGGAGAAGTCACATACGTGTATTGTGGAGGACAGCCCCTCCAGGCTGAGGTCCCAGCCAGGAGTTAACATCACACTCCAGAGATGTGCAGGAAGGAGCCTCCAGATGTTTCCTGACTGCAACCACAGGACAGACTCCCAAGTGAGAACCACTTAGTTGATCCCCAGAACCATGAGAGATAATAATTTTAAAAGATGGTTATTTTGCCCCATTAGTATAGAGGTTTGTTTTACAACAATTAGTTGTTGAAACACTGTTAATGAGTTACACGCTCTAGTAGATGCTTATGGGCAATACAAAAATCTAACTCATTAAAGAGTTACAAGTGGATTCTAGAAAGGAAAGAAACCCCATGGCAGAAAATGGTAAGTGCTATATAAAAGCTATAGGATAGGAGATTAAAGAGAAACCTGTTTTTAACTGCTATATGGATAAGTCATTAATCTTTTATCTACTAGCAGTTGATTTATGATAACCATGATTTATAGACAACCAGATTCGATTTCTCTATTTCTTGTCCCTCTCCATTTTCCACTACTGTTCTTTTCAAAATTGTGCATTTTCTTCAGTCTTCCTGCTCTACCAACTCAGTTCTTTCATCAAAAGGCTTTGCTTTGTAATCTGCAAATTAAACTAGGGGAAGGTGACCAGCTTAACTTCCTGTTCTACCTCCTACAAATGTGCCTTTATTTTCTCCCATCGCATCCCTTCCCCACTTCTCTGGGCTCAGAGCCTGAGGCAGAGATCCCTCTGCTTCGTTTTATTGATCCCATCCCTTTTGGAATCTTGTTTACCGATAACCACATCTCTCATCTCTTCCTTCAATTTCTTTTTAGATAAAGGGGCTTTCCCTTAAATTTTATAAAATGTGCAAGTTTTCCTTATTTTAAAAATTCCTCCCAAAATCCTGTGTCCTATTCTAAATGCTTTACAGAGCTCTCCTCTACTTCATTTCATAGTTTCTCCTTTGGAAGAGTGGGCTGCATTCACTTCCTGGTTTCCCTGCCTTGCCTTCTCTTCATTGTACACCCCCTTGTAATCTGGCTTCTGCTCCCACCATTCTTCTGAAATGATTCTCTTTTACTGCTATAACCGATGGAACTGCCAAATCCAACGGAAACTTCGAGCTTTGCTAATTTGGAGATCTTTGCTACCAAGAGGGAGAATGCTTTCATCAGGAGACACAACAATTTCATTGAATTTCAAGAGAAGATTTCCACCTGGTCATTTGAGGCTGTTTATGTCACTAAACCAACAGGCCAAAAATAAGGAGTTACTTCACTGGTTGGAATGGTTGATCCCAATTATCAAAGGGAAATTGAGTTGCTGCTACACACTGGGGAGAAGGAGAATTATGTGGAATCCAGGAAATTATCTGGGGTGCCTGTTAGCAGTTCTTATAACAACCAAAAAAAGGGCAGACGACTGAGAACTTTACCCTTCCCAAGGAAGGTTTAGGTCACTCTACTGGATAAAGAGTTGACCTGCTGAGCTTATGGCCAATGGCCAGAGAAATATGAGTCATGGGTATCAACTACGGCCTTGTGGCCAACTACTGAAATGAGGACTTTAGTGGCTTTGTGCATTTTCTCTTTGGCTACTATACGTTTAGGTGTGTAGGCTATTTCTTTCTCTTTTTTCCATTTTAATTTTTACACAAACTAGTGGTGCTTAACCATACATAGTAGTCTCTAGGCAATAAAATATTCAGTGCAACTATGATAGAATTTGAGGAGTAATGAATATAGCTGGCAGTGGATACAGAGATGGTTAGGACTGTGTGTCTCTTTGTTTTGTGAAGAGTGAGAATTTCTTCACTTGTGAAAATAGCAATCTTTTTTTTTTGGGAAAGAAATAAAAAAAAGGAGTGAAGGGGAGGAAGAAAGGAAGAAGGTTTTGGCTGTATCTTTTGATTGGGGGATTTAGTCGACTTAAATTTAGGGTTACTGCCATTTGATGTTAACTGGCTATTTTATTCATTCGTTGATGTAAATTCTTCTTTATGTTGATGCTCTTTACTTTTGGTATATTTTTAGAAAGGTTAATACTGGTTGTTCCTTTCTATGTATAATGCTTCTTTCAGAAGCTCTTGTAAAGCAGGCCTGGTGGTAATAAAATCTCTGAGTACTTGCTTGTTCATAAAAGATTTTATTTTTCCTTCAATTTTGAAGCTTAGTTTGGCAGGATATGAAATTCTGGGCTGAAAGTTCTGTTCTTTAAGGATGTTGAATATTGGCCCCCACTCTCTTCTGGCTTGTAGGGTTTCTGCTGAGAGATCTGCTGTAAGTCTGATAGACTTCCCTTTGTGGGTAACCTGACCTTTCTCTCTGGCTGCCCTTAGTATTTTCTCCTTCATTTCAACCCTGGTGAATCTAACGATTATGTACCTTGGGGTTGCTCTTCCTTTAGGAATATCTTTGTAGTGTTCTCTGTATTACCTGGGGTTGAATATTGTCCTGCTTTGCTAGATTGGGAAAGTTTTCCTGAATAATATCCTGAAGATTATTTTCCAGCTTGGATTCATTCTCTCTGTGGCATTCAGGTACACCTATCAAATGTAAATTTGGTCTTTTCACATAGTCTCATATTTCTTGGAGATTTTGCAATATCTTGTTAGGTGGAAACAGAGTTGCTTCACTGTACAGAGCTCACATGAGTGAAGGGTAGATACAGAAGATGAGTAGCTAAAGGAATGTACTATTCCCAGTTATCAGCTCATTGTCTCAACCCCCAATCCACTTATTACCATTCTATGATAATGAAGCAGAAATCTTTAAGAATTTCTTCTTTACAGTGAACATGTTGCTAAGCTTTGTCAGTAGACAGTGTTGGAGGATCACAGAAGGAAGGAGTTTTTCTTCTTGTTTCTAGTGATCTTCTGCAGAGAGAGAACAAGAAAGAGATAGTGTGTATATGTGTGTGTGTGCACATGCTCTATGTTTTCTGCAGTGCCCAGTGGCTGGCAGCACAGAGCACCTTCTTGTGGACAACTTTATAGTGGGAGGGCTACCAGCAAAGCACCTTCACTTGAATGGCTGCCTCAGGCAACTGGCTCCAGCCATTCTAAGCAAAATGCAGATGGCAGGCCCATTCTTGTGATCATCTTCCCCCAGCATGCTTCCTTGCAGGGAGCTGCTAACAGGGCACTTTCCTCTGAACAACTTTTCCCGCCTTCCTTCAGGTGGCTTTCAGTGAGTTCTGGGACATGGCTCATTCCTGAGGATATGACCTTAGCACTCCAAAGGGCAGTTTTCCAGCAAGTTCCACTGATGTGACGTCTCAGTGAATTTCTCTGCCAGCCAATCTGCCTTGCCATGCCCTCTACAATGATGTTTGTATCTCAGTCCTTGGAAGAGTTGGCTTCTTCCTTGGACTTCTATCTCAGTCCTAGGGTAGGGGGCTGCCCATTCAATTTCCCTTTGGTAATGGGATCAATTACTCCAGCCAGTGAAGTAACTCCTTATTTTTGGCCCATTTGTTTAGTGACATAAACAGTTTCAAATGACCAGGTGGCAATCTTCTCTTCTAATTCAGTAAAATTACTGTCGTGTCTTCCGATGAAAGCATTTCCCCCTTTTGGGGTGAATACCTCCAAAGTAGCAAAGCTCGAGAGAATGCTTACCGTTCCTGTATTCTTTAGAGTACTTGTTATCTCTCACTAGCAATTGCCCCTTTACTCTTTTTTCAAATTACTAAGTGATTTCTGTGTCCTGATTGGACTTTGATACACATCCTTAAAGAAACTCAGTGGTGTTACATGATGAAATTCTTGGCCGTGGTCATTTAATTGTTCACATTATTTCTCTGGGTTTAAGAAAAAGTCTTATTCTCTCCCAAAGAGATGAACAAAGAGTCACAACTCATTCGTGACCACCTATCCTAATTCTGAAGGTTTCCTTAGGATACAAATGTTCATTGCAATGCTATTCACAATAGCAAAGACGTGGAATCAACTAAAATGTCCATCAATGATAGAATGGATAAAGAAAATGTGGTATTGACACATCATGGAATACTATGCAGCTATAAAAAAGAATGAGATCATGTATTCTGCAGGAACGTGGGTGGAGCTGGAGGCTATTATTCTTAGCAAGCTAATGCAGGAATAGAAAACCAAACACCACATGTTCTCACTTATAAGTGGGAACTAAAGGATGAGAACACATGAATACAAACAAGGGAACAACAGAGACACTGGGACCTACTTGGGGGTGGAAGGTGGGAGGAGGGAGAGGCTGAGAAAAGGTAACTACTGGGTGCTGGGCTTAATACCAGAGTGATGAAATCATTCTGTACAACAAACCCACGTGACACGAGTTCACCTAGGTAACAAACCGGCACATGTTGCTTCAAACCTAAAATAAAAGTGAGATGAAAAGGCACCACCTTCTGACACTGTTCTGGAAGTTGGAGCTGGTCTATGTGATGCACAGACCTATCTTATTTGTGGAAGCCGTACTGCAAGAGTCTGAGCAACTGTTTTAAAAGCCCTCAATTCTTCTGGCTTTAGGCAGCCTCTCTTTGTTTCTTCTGATGGGTACAGGAAATGGAAAGATTCAGGAGCAGGAGCAGCCTCTTGTAACCCTGCCAAGAAGGGAGATAGATCAAAAGAGAAAAAAAAGCATGTTAGCGTCCAATGGGTGCAGGAAATGTTCTAGTTTAGTTAGTTACAAAGATATTTGGAGATTAAGCTTGAATGGTGTAGAGGCTAAAAGCCTAAGCTTTGCATTTCTGTTGCTTGTCAGCCTGATAAATGCACACTATACAAGGAACATAATGATTAAAATTATGAATAAGAAAATACATTTATAAACGAAGAAAACCAAACGTAGAGGAGAAAAATTGAGGTTGAAATAAGAGAAATCAAATAAGAGGAATACAAATAATACATTGAACTGGTTAAAAAGAAAAACCAGGAGCTCAGAAATTAAAAAGTATAACTAGGGAAAAATGAGATAAAAGAATTAAAATTTTAGATGTTAAAATCAGGAACGTAGAATTTCACGGATATCATTGCAAATACAGCTTAAGTAGAAAAGGAAACAACAATGTTTTCAACTGGAAACAATGGAGGGAAAAAGTAAATGGAATAGAAAGACTAAGCAGGTAGCTGAAACATTTTAAAGGAGGATAAAAAATAAGCAAAAAGCTAGTCAAAGGAGTATAGCATTCTCTAAGTGCTAAACATTTAGAGAACAAAGCAACCTAAATATAAAAGACAAGAGCTGAACACTTTAAAACATGAGAAGAGCAAACTTTGTTTTTTAAACAAAGCAAATTACTTGCTTTATAAGGACATCTGGATTTTGTTACTATTATTCTCCAGATGCTAAAGCAGCCTCACATTCCAGTAGATTGTCTCTGTACTTTTGATTCCCAAGGTCAAGGTCTTTGCAAAGCACCCTTAGGGTTCCTTTAGGCCAAAGCCAAAGGTAGCAAGCAGTTCAAAATGTTTAACCTCTTCTAGCTCCTCTTTCTCCAAAGGCTCTTGTCTCCTTTGTCTGCATGGTCTTTAATTAGATACCTTGAAGAGTTGGCCAGGGAAACAGGCTGGAAAGATACATGCCCTGGCTTGGCCAGCCCTGTTGAAGCCTTGGCCTTGCTAGCATTCCGGTAGACGCGCATTTCATTGCTTGCTGGGGAGCCCAGGAATCACTACAAATATATTGCCTGCCTAGATAGTTCTAGGTGCTGAGATTATTACAGACTCTTCTTCCCATCACGTTGCTGGCTGCAGTTTAGACAATCATACTATTTTGTAATATTTCAGGCCCAGGTAGAGAGTCAGTAACTTTTGGCCTACCACCCACAGTAAGAAGTACATTTCAGGCCGGAGGCGGTGGCTCAAGCCTGTAATCCCAGCACTTTGGGAGCCCAAGGCGGGTGGATCACGAGGCCAACAGATTGAGACCATCCTGGTCAACATGGTGAAACCCCGTCTCTACTAAAAATACAAAAAATTAGCTGGGCATGGTGGCACGTGCCTGTAATCCCAGCTACTCCGGAGGCTGAGGCAGGAGAATTGCCTGAACCCAGGAGGCAGAGGTTGCGGTGAGCTGAGATCGCACCATTGCACTCCAGCCTGGGTAACAAGAGCAAAACTCCGTCTCAAAAAAAAAAAAAAGAAGTCCATTTCATATGGTGACTCAATACATACATATACATATATATCTATATAACTGAAAAAGAAATTTTATAACATAAATACCCTCTCTAATATCATGTCCTCCATTACTTTCTTTGTGTTGTTTATTACAGAATTGTCTCATGTAGAAGCTAGAGCAATGGTTTTAAAAATTATTTTGCTTCTATCCACACTAAGAAATACATTGTGTCCCAATGCACATATGTTTATGTATCTATATAGTTAAAAGTTCACAACACAATAGTCTTTCTTCTAATAGCATATCTTTTCATCTTCTATTGTATTGTATTATAGTTCTATTTACAGCTTCCCAGTTGTATCTACCTACATTAGCAACTCCAAGATTCCTACCAAGCCAACTCAATGACAGCACAGACAACCACAGACAAGGAAAGTGCCTAATGGGAGGTAGAATCACTACAAAATCTTGGTGCTGAAAATGCACTTTACTACTCCCTATTGATGCTCTGGTCTATACATTGTGTCTCTGTTCCTCCTACACTTGTGAAACATAAATACCTTTTATCTGTAAGGTGCTTATAATAGGGGATGGGGAGCCAAGATACTGGTGAAGAGAGCTCAGAAGGGTTTCTAGATGTCATTGAATTGAGACTATCTGTTGGACATAATTTTTTTGGAAGCTACAGAAAATCTAGTTCAGGTATTCTTAAATAAAAAGTTAGAATTTATTTACATGACTGAATGTTTAGGAGAGATTTGTCTTCAGGCTCAGCTTGATCCAGGACTAAATGATATTCTAAGATGCATCTCTCAGCTATGCTTCTGTGAAATGTCTCCATACTCAAGGTGGCTCTCCTTGTGGTTGCAAATATGACTGTTATAGTCCCAAACCCTAAAGCACCATGAACTGGAGGAAAAGTTTGTATCTTTGCCTAGGGTCATGTTCTCATTCCTGCACCAATTATTATGTCTGGGGAGACAGGATATGCCAATAGGTGTAAGCCAGTCAGGGCCTACTCCTGGAGCTCCCACATGATTAAGAGTGGAGGGACTGATTTTTCAAAGAAAATATGGGGAACTGTGACTTGGAAGATGGGAAAATGGAAGTGGGGCTGCCAAAGGCAGGTGCTTACTCTACTGAGCCTCAGATGCAGCATGGACATAAGAAAAAAGGTTGTGGTGGGGAAGCCTTGTCAACAGGGGACAGGCCAGGAACAGGGCTGTAATGTGGAAGGAGCAGCAGGAGTGAGGCCTGGGGCTACCTTACATCATCTGGTGTAGCTGGAGCTTCAGGGCACACACTGAGGAGCAGTGAGAGATGAGGTGAGAGCTGATAAAGCAGCCTGTGGGTTCTGATTTCCAGGCTACAGACTGAAGACTAAATTTAGCAGCTGATCAGAAATCAGAGAAAGATTTAAAGTAGAATTAGCACCATAGGAGATTAACTTTGCATTAATGAAATGGGACAGAAATGCATTGGAGAAAGACTCCTGGAAGATTCCAGTATTCCAGGCAAGAGTTAATGGAGTGCCAAACAGGGTAGCAATGAGTGTAGAGAGAGCAGAGGAATTAACTCCAAAGCTCTGTTCCCCTCTCTCTCATAACCCCATGAAACTTTCTGTTCTGTTGACTTATGCAAAAGTGGGAGAGATCATTTAATATTCAATTGGCTTCAAACAACGATTAAATAATTCCTGAGAGCTTTAGTTTTCAAAAAAGAAGAAACAACCTGTTGGAAAAAAAAAAAATGAATAGTTATGTAACTCATTACAGAAGCCTATCTCATCACATGGTTAAATTACTTTGCAACAAATGAAATGAAATAAAGACATTTCTAAGACACTAAACAGGCTCCAGAGGCCCCTCTCTCTCTAGAGCCCTGTGGTGAGAATTATCCTCCTCCTTATCTTATAGAACCTTGGTTTCAACTGTCCAATATTACATATATGCATTTTTTATTACCCACTAGATTATGATGAGGGTTTCGGGTGACAGAAACCTCTTCAGGTTGAGTAAAATAATTTCCTCTTTCCTAGCACCTCTACTTGGATCCAAGCACCATGACTAGAGCTGGGATATGGATATGAATCCCAGCTAGACCTGAACCTAGGGAGGCTCTGGTTTAGTGTGGCAAGTAAGGCATTTAACAAGTGCTGGGAGAGACATCTGAACAGAGTGCAGTGAGAGGAGAGGTCCACTGTGTGTGGGAAGAACTGGAAATGCTTCATCAGAGGCAACACTTAACAACGAGTCTTAAAAGACAAGTAGTCAAAGAAGGCAGGAGAAAGGAGGAGCATTGGAAAGTGCTCACATCTGGCAGATGGATGTTTGAATATGGAGAATGCCATAGAAACTTTGAACTCATGATGTCTTCAGAAATATGTAGAGGAGTTTCTTAGAGAAACTCTAAGAGGACTCTAAGTTGCCTGAATCCAGAAATTGGCTCAACCTCTGTCCATTCTGGGACTGAGTCATCTGGTAGAAATCAATATGTGAATTTGGAGTTTACACAGATTTTTATATATTCTTATTTAATTTTGTTTTAAAAAGATAAGGTCTTGCTCTGTTGCCTAGGCTGGATTTCGATCATAGCTCACCATAACCTCAAACTCCTACATTTGAAACATGTCCCCAACCTAAGCCTTTTGAGTAACTGGGACTAAAAGTATGTACCACCACCCCAGGCTAATTTTAAAACATGCATTTTTATAGAAACAGGGTCTCACTATGTTGCCCAGGCTTCTCTTAAACTCCTGGCCTCAAGTAATCTTCGTGCCTCAGTCTCCCAAAGCTTATTTAATTTTTACTACAATGCTGTACAATGGAAATGATAGGAGGAAACCCAGTTTTACAGAAAATAGGTTTAGCAAAGTCACTGAGAGTCACACAGCTGGGAAGGGAGGATGGAGTGGCCTCGTGAGATGGGCTGGTTTGTAGATCTTTTGCTGCACTAGAGCATATGGCTTCTACCTGCTCTCTGCTTGCAGTGACTCTGTCCCTTTGGAGTTGAGTCAGACAACTAGGGCTCCCTTTTCTGTCCATTGCTATTTCACTTCTTCATTTGTGTGCCAGCATAAGCCCAACAGTTTTGACACCTGTTCAATGAAGAAGCCTTTTATAGACAGAATAAACTGTACACACACACACACAGACACACAAATACACACACGCACATATGCACACATGCAAGAATAATGGGTAATCTATAGTGAAAGACATCTGGTGTTAAAGATACAAGTTTATTATTACTAAAATAAGTCAAGCAAGATTCGTTTCTCCTCTACATTAGAGACACTTATGCTGAGAACAAGAAGTAATTTAAAGAAATTGAAACATCTATACTTGAAGCCATTTTTGATGTATTTCTTTAAAATAACAGTTTTAATATTCCTAGAAATACCATAAAGCATTATTTTATTCATGTAACTGCCATGCTTAATGAACTTCAGTGATACCCTGCAAATGTCACCAAGTCTGC